GATATCTAAAAGCCTCCTGAGATACTTCCATTTCTTCTAAGACTCATGGGTCCCGCCCTAGGCGGGGACCACAGCACCCACCTGGGTCCTCCTGCCCCACCCCACCCCACCCTACTACGGGTCCGCGTATCTCCCCAGGGTCATCCTCCAAGCATGCTGGTCCTCGCTATCTACATCGTGACCTTCACCGTGGGCCTCCCGGCCAACGTCTTCGTTTTCGCCACCCTCTTGAGCACCGCCCGGCGGCGCATCTCCTCCTCCACCATCCTTCTCCTCAACCTGACGGCTGCTGATCTTCTCCTCCTCCTCTTCCTCCCGTTCAAGATGGTCGAAGCAGCTGCTGACATGACCTGGCCCTTACCGGTTGTCCTCTGCCCGATCGCCAACTACTGCTTCTACTCCACCATCTATCTCAGCAGCCTTTTCTTGGCGGCCCTCAGCGTTGAGCGGTATATCAGCGTCGTCTTCCCCCTCCGCTACAAGGACCGGAGAAGACCAGGGCGGGCGATGGCCGCCAGCGTCATCATCTGGCTCTTGGCTTGTTCCCACTGTTCCATCGTCTTCATCGCCCAGTATCACGGTAGTGGGAACTGGCCCACAACCAACAGCTCCACAGTTATTGGCTCCGATGGTTCCAAAACGTCCAACCCCGATGGGTTCAAGTCCAACGGCTTTGACGTCTCCAACCCCACGTACTCCACTGTTGACAGCTTCGTCCACGGTAGCTTGAGGATGTCCGGCGCCGATGACTTCAACCCTGATGACTTCAAGATGTCCCCTCGAGATGGCTCCGTCACCGACGGCTTCGACCCCAGCGGTTCCAAGATCTCCAGCCCCCACGTCACCAATCCCACGGCCTTCAAGATGTCGGACTAAGCCGACAACAGGTTAATCCCGTGCGGCTCCAAGACCACCAACGGCGCCGTCTCCACACGGAACGGCTCCAGGATCTCCAACCCCAACATCTCCACCTCCAAAACGTCCACCCACCGTGGCGCCGACGTCCAGGCACTCTCCGGCTCCACCGATGCCTCCCAGACCTCCACCGGTCCCAGTTCATCTGCTCCCAACATCCGTGACAGCTCCAACACCACCAACCCCTACAAATGCTATGATGACTTCTCCACAGAGCAGCTGAGCTTTGTCCTCCCGCTACGCCTGGAGCTCTTCCTCGTCCTCTTCCTCCTCCCCTTCACCGTCACCATCTTCTGCTACATCAACTTCGTGCGAGTTCTCCTCGCCCGGCCGAATATCCCGCTGGAGAAGAAACAACGAGCCGTGGGCTTGGCCGTGGCCACCATGGTCAACTTTGGGGTCTGCTTCGCACCCTACAACATCTCACACGTGGTGGGCTTCGTGGAGAAGAAGAGCCCAGAGTGGAGGGTCTACGCTTTGCTCTTCAACGCCGCCCTCGACCCCGTCATCTTCTACTTCTCCTCCACGGCGGTGCAGAAGGCCACGGCCGGGGTGGTGGTGGCCGTGCGGAACAAGCTGGGGGGATTGGTGGGCTTGTGTTACAGGACGCGTTCTCCTGGGACCTCCCAGGGCGAGTCTGATGGTTCCTTGTCATGAAGCTCCTGGGGTGGGGGGGTGAAAGGTCTCACCATCGGGGGTGGATTTGATTGGGTGGGGGCAAGAGGGAGGCTGGATTTGGGGGAGGATCTGAAGGGCTTCATCCAATGGTGATGGTTCCAAGGTCCTTGGAGGTCACGGCCAGCTTGGCCCCATAGCATTACCTGATACTGGGTCATGGTAACGTCTCCAGCATCTGTGGGACCATGGAGAACTTGGCCCCATGGGTTGGGGTGATGACATCAGCCATAAGGTCATGGCGTTGTCTCCAACCTCTCTGTGGCCATGGAGAACTCGGACCTGTCATTTGAAGATTATGGTCTCTATAGATCTGAGGTCCCCATGGGGTCAAGATGGATGTTGTCCATGGCCTTCATGGGTTGAGGGGCTCCTACGGTCTCCAAGAGGCGAAAGGTGTCGTGAGGTCTCCATCAATCTATGGTCTGCATGGATCTAAAGGCCTCCACGGGTGTTCTACAGCCTCCCCAGGTCCCCGTGACCTTCTTAACCTCCAATCATCGATCACCTCCATGGGTCCACAGCTTCTGTGAAACTAAGGCATCCTTGGGTTGGTGGCCTCCATGGAGCCAAGGTTGGCGTTGCCTGATGGCCTCCATGGCTCAATGTCGTCCCTAGGTGAATGTTCTCCATGGACCCACGTTCTGCATGGAGTGGTGGTCTCCAAACCACGTCCTCCATGGGGTGGTGGTCTCCAAGGACCCACGTCCTCTGTGGGGAGCCAGTCTCCAAGGACCCACGTCCTCCATGGGGTGGTGGCCCCATCTCGCTTCTTTTCCCCCCAGAGAGCCCTGCCCCAAACACGAGCTATTTATTCAAGACTGTAGTCCAAGCGTGGTCAATGCCGAAGCGGGGGGAGATGTGGACACCAGAGTCCAAGAGGAGAAGAGGGATACCTGGGTGCCCTCCCAGTGCGGGGGTTGGGCACATCCAGAGACTTGGGTCTCCTGGTGGGAAGAGGTGTGAGGACACCTAGAAGATGGTGGTGGTGGTGAGGGGAAGGTGAGGGTGATGATGGTGAGAAGAAGTAACCCGAAGACCTGGGCCCGCCCCACTTGGGTAGGGGAGGGGGAGATCACCCAAACGTCTGGGCGTGTCCCCCCCC